TCTCGCCAAGTTGCCCAGGCAGGTCTCGAACCCGCGGGCTCAGGCAATTTACTCATCTCGACCTCCCAAAGTGCGGGATTACAGGCTGAGCCACGGAGCCCGGCCAGGAAACGTTTTTAAAAAGACAGTGACTGAATAGCAGCACACACTTGATACAAGGGGGCTTGGCGAACCCAACTGAGGGTAAGGGTAGTGAGTTCTGAGGTGAAAGGTCCCTGGGGGGTGGAGCGTTCAGGGGACTCTGTGGAGGAGTGGGACTTGATGTGAGCCTTGAAGGATGGCTGCATTTGGAAAGATAGAGGAGAGAGGGCAGGCAGGGCAGGTCGAAAAGCCCAAGCATTTCACTCATCAGAGGGTTCAGTGATTATAAAATAAGAAGGGCTTGACTGTAGAAGGATCTGGATGCCAAGTTAAGGAGTCTGAACTTTATCCTGTAGGCAGTAGGGAGCCAGAGAACATGTATTCACTAAAAAAAGAAAGGCTGAAGGAGAATCACAGGGGAGGCTCCAATAACTGTGCAAACTCATAAAATATATTATGTAGCGGCTGATGACCATTTTTCCATTTCCAGTGAGGGTCAGGTAAGGGAAAGTAAATGTAGATTATAATAAAAGACAGTGAGATTAATTGAAAGTATTTTCTGGAATCCCCTCATGTGGGCTAACAGTAGGAGGACTATCATTTTTAAACCAAAAACTGAGGCACATGGTTTGACAGTAAAACCCTGGGTAGTCCCAGAACATCAGGACATATGGTCACCATCATTAACTCAGTGGATGACAATTAACTTCATGACCACTTACCAGCCATAGTACAGTAAATTGTATCCCTCTCAAAGGCACTTTCAGTTTCAAACTTTACAAAGTCATAGAAAGTGTGGTAGATGGAACAGTGTCACCCCAAAATTCATGTCTATCTATAACTATTTGTCTATCTATAAATTATGTGACTATTTGAAAATAGGGACTTTGCAGATATAACTAAGTCCAGATAAAGATTTATTGAATTAAAGGAGACCCTAAATCCAGTGTGACTGGTATTTTTATACAAAGAGAAGACACAAAGAGAGATATACAAGGGGGGGGCCAAAAATTCCATAATTATTTTTTGGAGGGCAGGAGTACAGGTTTCCCCCACTAGGTAAGTGTTGTAGGAACTTATAGGGGATCAGTATACCAGCTAGTGTTGTTGTGAGAGGCCGCGTTCAGCGTCAGTGAATATTTTTGGAGATTCTTTCAACACATTTGCCCACTGCATGATGGGTGATTTACAAACATACCAGCCCACACTGTGCTGAGTGTTCAGCAGCTGGTTTTTTTGGTTTTTTTTTTTTACCAAAAACACATGACCCCCATGGCCCACCCCTCTATTCACCCAATCTTGCCCTAAGAGACTTTTTTTTGTTTCCCCAGATGAAAAAAGTCCCCAAAGGGAAACATTTTGCCAATGTGAGAGAGTTGAAACAAAAGACGGCAGAAGCACTAAATGGCATCAAAACTGACGAGTGCAAAAACTGTTCTGAGCAGTGGAAAAACCGTCTTGATAGGTGTAATGCATCAAACAGAGAGTACTTTGAAGATGACTGAAGCTTAAACATGTAAGAATAAAGTACACAATGTTTATAAATAAATTCCAGGGTTTTTTGGGTCCCCCCTCATATATAGAGAAGACTGTGAGAATGGAGGAGAAATTAGAATGATGCATCTGCAAGCCAAGAATGCTAAGGACTGTAAGTAACCACCAGAAGCTAGGAAAGAGGCAAAGAACAAGATTCTCCCTCAAAGACCTCAGAAGGAACCAGCCCTACCTTGATTTTTTTTCTGGCTTCCTAAGCAGCGAAAGAGAAAATTTCTGTTGTTTTTAACCATCCAGATCCTGATGTTTTGTTATGATCGCCTTAGAAAACTAATGTAGATTCTGATTCCAGGAAGCAGGATGCTGCTATAACAAATGCCTAGAAATGTGGAAGTGATTTTGGATTGCATAGCAGGTAGAGGCTGGAAGAATTTTGAAAATGCCTTGAAGAGACAGTTGGTGGAAATCTGGAGGTTATGGGGAGGTTCAGACAGAAATGAGGAGTGTGTTACTGGAGACTGGAGGAAAAATGATCCTTGGTATAAAGTGGCAGAGAACTTGGCCAGAACTTGGAATCATCTGACCTGGCCCCCTTGTTTGACAAATGAGGAAAAAGCAGACTAAGATTTATTGAGAGTCTACGGAGGGTTTGCCATCAAGCCTAACTGGTCACATTTAAATCCTCACAGCTACCTTTCATGATGTGAATTATCAAGCACATTATAGGATGAAGAAGTGGAGCCTCAAAGAAATTAAAGGACTTGCCCAAGTTCATTAGGCAGATCAATGTCTAGGCAGTGGCTCTTTCCTTGACCAGGTGTCTTTCCACCCAAGGTCCAAAGCTCGCAGTGGACACTGCCGAAGCTGAGCCCAAGCTCCAGCCTGCTAGTTCACTCGGTCTCTGCTGCCCACAGCAGTAACTGAAGATATGGGGGACAAGCCTTTTTAGCAAACACAGCATAACTTGTAACTCTAAAGAAGCCTATAATCCCAGCACTTTGGGACGCTGAGGTGAGAGGACTGCCTGAGCCCACGGGTTCGAGATCAGCCTGGGCAACTTGGTGAGACCTCATCTCTACAATAAATCAAAAAATTAGCCAGATGTGGTGGCGTGTGCTTGTAGTTTCAGCTACTTGGAAGGCAGAGACGGAAGGAACACCTGAGCCCAGCGGGTCGAGGCTGCGTTGGCCAGGAGGGTGCCACTGCCCTCCAACCTGGGCGACAGAGTGAGACTCCGACACACACACACAAAAGAAGAAGAAAAAGGAGCAGCAGCACGGGCCAGGTGTGGTGGTTCTTGCCTGTAACCCCAACATTTTGGGAGGCCGGGGTGGGAAAATTTTTTGAGTCCAGGAGTTCACGACCAGCCTGGGCAACACAGTAAGACCTCATCTCTACCAAAAAAAAAAAAAAATCCAGGTGTGAAGGCAAACACCTGTAGTCCTAGCTACTCGGGAGCCTGAGTCTGGGAGGTTGAGGCTGTGGTGAGCTGTGATTTGTGGTCCTGCACTCCAGCATGGGCAGCAGAGGGAAAATGAAACGCCATCTCAAAAAACAAAAAAAAAGTGCAGTCTGGAGAGTTCCCAGAGCTCGTTAGACCTTGTCATTAACCTTCCACTCCAGTAGACAGAGGAAGCTTTGGTGTTGAGGTCTCCTGATTACAACTGCAAAGCAAATGGACGTAACTGAGGCCCTCATAGCCTAGTTTTAAGCAGAACTTTTAAGCAGAGTTTTCAACCTCAGATCCAGAACTGTCCCCACTGTTGCGCAGTGGTGCCTACCACAGGGGGTGATGTGATCTCCTCCTTGGTCTGTCGCAGAACTTCGTTGTGGATGGTCACGGTGTCCAGTGCCCAGCCTTTGTGGGCACGGGTCACTTCTTGCCTCATTGCTGTAAGGAAGCCTTAAAAAAAAGAAAAGATTATGATGCCTTGGTGCAGAGTTCACTTTAGAAACAAGGAAGATGCAATGCTAAGTGTTACTTACTTGTCAACCTCCAAACTTCACGTTCATTCCAAAAGAAGTTGAGACCAAACCCCCCCCCCCGGGGGGGGGATATTGCTCTCAGTGTTTTGTTTCTATGGGGACCTGCAGTAAGTGAAATCTTTCTTTCCTGCTGACAGCAGGAAAGCAGCCACCCTTTTTGCCAAGATTGGGCTTTGGTTTGAAATTCTCTCGGGATTTCAACTGCTGAAGTCCTAAAGGGTTGTATCCCAGTCCTAGCTCATAGTCTCTATTTGAAAACACAAAATCGAGGAGTAAGACCAGAATGGTAAAATATTCTGAGAATAGCATTCCCAATTAAACATGAATCAAACCATTATCGTGCTTCTATTTGCTATAATGGAACAATTTCATTTAGTCTAAGGAAATAAGACATAATGCCAAAATAGAAAACCTCACTTTCAATTTGATCAAACAAAGCAATCACACCGGAAAGGAAGGTTACATGTTTTAATGTGCATAATACAGTTATTTTAAGACAATACGTGGTTCTGCTTATTGTGGCCTTTCTTTAAATTTAATATTTGCAAACCATCCCATTCAATTCAATAAGAGAAGTCTTTCTTGGAGAGTAATACTTGATGTTAGCAAAAATACCCTAAACTTCTAAATGGTCTTTAAAACCTGAAGAAAGTTTATCCATGACCTATAGATTATATCTTGGCCTCCATGTAAGTATTAAAAATCATGGGACTCTCCCAGGGAGTAAATTTTTGGAATGTGTGTGTCCCTGCTATTCCTGGATTAGTGAGTTCTGAGAACCAAATCAACACATACCAACACATGCCCAAAACAACACATAAATGATAACATTTTATCGGGTTTGGGTTAGAGTAGGGGAAGGCGAGCTGCAAGGCTGAATTATAAGCACTGAGTTAAGGTCCCTTAGAAAGAAGGAAGAGGCCTCAATGTGGCTTTACTGAGAATCAAGTTCTCCCATTATATTTCTTCTTTCTTTTCCAAATTTTGTTTCTTTTTTTTAACTGAGGTAAAATATACATATAAAGTATACCATCTTTACCATTAAAGCAGTTATAATGACATTTATGCACTATGTGGTCATTCATTCATTTGTCAGATTTCTCAGAATTGCCATCGTGTGCCAGGCACTGCTCTAGGTGGAATGACCACAATGATGCAGAAGCATCCACAGGCCCCGCATTCAAGAGGCTCAGTCTGGAGGAAATGGGGAGAGAGGCAGAACACCAACGCAGCCTTGTCATGAACAGAGGCGTGAACAAAGTTAAACACTGGGAAAGACAGCTCAGGTGTAATTGAGAAGGTGAAGATGAGGGTGACTCTTGAAAGATATGCAAGAGTTTGGATGAAAGAAAGGGATGGGACAATTTCAGGTAGAGAAACAGTATGTGCAAAGGCATGGAGGGCTGGGACAGAGGGGAGGCAGTGATGGCAGATAAGGTTACGACAAAGGTAGAGGCATGATTTTTCAGGGTCATAGTTTGGACTTGATGCTGTGATGGTGCGAAACAACTGACTATTTAAAGTAGGCAAAAGATTTGGTTGCATTTGCGTCTTAGAAAACTTACTTAGCATGCCCACTAAAATAAGATTTGGAGGACCCCTGGCATTAATCCAAAAGAAGAGTTGGTAATCAACACTTATAGTTTCAAGAAGCTAAAAGTGCCTAGTAGGGAAGGGTAGTTTTAACTACAAGGGGCAGGTATTTAACTACAAGGGGCAGGTATTGATAGTGCTGGTCAATACCTGTACTCTATAAGTGACTCTAGTCGCTTAAGGTGATGTGATCAGCATGTGACTGCGTTGACTTCCATTTTAAACACTGGGGATCCCATATTACAGTAGTAAAACATATTGTGGTACATAGGACCACAATAATAAAACTCAATTCTCCCATCTCAGTCACTCCATGAAAATGTCATTTTCATCATTCAACCTTAAGTGTTGAATGTGGTGAATCCACATAGTGCATTAGACACTGTGTTTCCAAGAGTACTTGGAATTAAATTGACCCTATTTTATGCTATTTAAAAATTCTCCACTGATCTATGAATCTACAAGGTTATAATGTACAAGGCAAGAATCCTGGTCTGCACGAGTTGAATAATTAAATTTAATAATTAAATTTTAAATTTTTCTATAACATCTTCTGTTCTGACTAAATTGCAAATTTGACCTCACTCCATGTGACGCTTAGGACAATGCCACAGGTGCCTGGCGATAAATGAGCCAGATTCTCTCTTATATACTGCACCTGTTTCAAAGATGTAAGTCATGATCAGAGAGCTCTGAAGAACTCCAGTGCAATTAAGGAGAGACAATTTTCTGTCTTCTCCCTACTGGGAAGTATGCTTGATGTTGTCTAGCTGACTTCAACAATAAGCCTCCTCATGCTTAGGAAGCCACTCTTAATACACCAGTCGGTGGAATCTAGAATACATTTATATTACCTTGAGCTATTAAGAAAGGAAATGTTCGCTGGGCTCGATGGCTCAGCCTGTAATCCTGCGCCTTTGGGAGGCTGAGGTGAGTGGATTGCCTGAGCCTGTAGGTTCGAGACCCGCCTGGGCAATGAGACCTCATCTCTACAATAAATAAAAAAATCAGCTGGGTGTGGTAGCACATGCCTGTAATTCCGGCTACTCGGAAGGCAGAGGCTGAAGGATCGCCGGAGCCCAGCAGTTCGAGGCTGCGGTGGTCAGGAGCGGCCACTGCACTCCAGTCTGGGCAACAGAGTGAGACTCCAACTCAATAAATAAATAAATAAAAAATAAATAAAAAAGAAATGTTCAATAAATATATTTGAGGCCTGAAAGTGGAGGGTAGAAAGCTGTTCCATGGGCCACTCCTATGCTCAGAGAACATGGAGAAGATACATATTATTTCAAGTCTTAGTAGTTTTGTTTCAGTTTCCTAAAAGAACATGATCCGTGTGGCATCCAAAGGGTACTGAATCCACTAAATTTAAAAAATGAGTGGGACAGGCTTAGTGGCTCAGCCTGTAATCCCAGCACTTTGGGAGGCCGAAGAGAGTGAATTGCCTGAGCCCACAGGTTCAAGACCAGCCTGGGCAACTTGGCGAGATCTCGTCTCTACAATAGATAAAAAATTAGCCAGGTGTGGTAATGCGCACCTGTAGTTCTGGCTACTTGGAAGGCTGAGGTGGAAGGATTGCCAGAGCCCAGCAGGTGGACACTGGGGTGGCCGTGAATGTGCCACTGCACTCCAGCCTGGGCGACAGAGTGAGACTCCAACTCAAAAAAATGTTTTTTTCTGAAGCCTGTGTAATTGTAAAAGACTATTGACATATGTATTTTTCTTTATAAAAACTTGAAAGTCAGCACTTTTGTTTTGGCACCAATTTAGTTTTAATTATTCTTAAACAAAATTTCAATCATCAGTGGTGAAAAAAGTGCTTCATTAGTTCATATGTTTGACTCTGACGGGAGAAACAAAAAGTCAGAGAAACTCTTCACCAAAAATGACCTACTCTTCATAAGAGTTAATCACCCACATGGAAATGGCTGATTTGATTATTTAAACATCTGAGTTACATATGGTCTAAATGGGATGCTTTAAAAAAAGTTTGTTCCCTTCAAACTCATAAAGCATAATGAATTCTTAAAACACTTGTCAAGCTTGTTCTTTTTGAAAAAATCACTTCTAAGCTAGAATAATACTTTGGGAACTCAGGTGTAAAGTAGCGCTTGTTATGTGATAATTCCTACAACAGGAGTAATCCAACGTTTTAACACACTAATTACTGTTCGTGCAATCAGTTGGCTTAAAGGAAGCTGTAACATGTTTTCAAGTATCATTTCATACAAAGTCTTACAAGAGACCAAAGAAATAACTAATCAGGAAAGTCGTTCTTCTCAAGTTGATAAGGAGTTGGTTGGTATTCTGTAATGATGGTTCTATGCCAAAAATAAGCAACATTTTTTGCTTTAATAAATGAAACAGTCCTTACGTAATGGGCCTTAGCTTGTGCAGTATTTCCTGCCTAATCAGTTACTGAGCCTCCCAGTAGCATCTCTGAAGATGAGGAGGAATGATGTTCCTGCCGCACATTTATGACAGGCAGTTTTTCCCCCAAATGAGAAGCAAGTGTAGTTCATTGGTAAGTTAAATAAAAGGACAGAAATCATTAAACAAAGACGGGCTGATCAACCCAGTTGAATAAAAATGCACCATGCACCCTTCCTGATTCTTTGCCATAAAGCAGGGTCCCTAAACTGCCAAAAATTAGCAACACCCAGGAATCTTCTAAAACTCCCAATTCCCAAGTGATAGTTCAGATGAATACAATCAGAATCTCTGGAGGTGGGACCCAAGCATCAGCATTGCTTTAAGGCAGGGCTTCTCAAACTTTAATGAGCATTCGAATCACCTGGGGAAGGGGGTTTAATAAAAATTCAGGTTCTGATTTGGTGGGTAGGTCAAGGGTGGGGCCTGAGAGTCTGCGCTGCACCAAGCTCCCAGGTGATGCTGATGCTACTGACTGGTGGATCACACACTGGGTAGCAAAAGGTCAAAAGTCAAGGTTCTTTACGCATTGGAATGGCCAAGGGAGTTTTTAATAAAATCGGTTATATAGACTCTAGCAGGCTCATCCTCAGAGATCCTGATATAATTGTTCTGGGACATCATGCATCAGTATGTATTAAAAGCTCCCTAGGTGTCCACTGTGTAGGCAGGTTTAAGAACCACTCACTGATCTGTCGAAAACTATGCAAGACAGGTCACTGACAGTCACTGACCTACATGTTTTAAAAACAAGTTTGACAAGTGAGAAGAGAAACGCCTCCTAGTACATGCACAACATGAGAAAGACTGTCAGTAGCATGAGCTGACTCCACCCAGGGCCCCTGAGATGCATAGGTACTCTAAAATGTCAATAATCCAGGTCTTGGTTGGCTC